ATTCACGGCATAGCCTCTCCCCACCTTCCCTTGCAGGCAACTATTTGGAACTCCAGACTCTCCTCAGGCCATCTCTGCACTACATTTGCCTAGTCTTTCAGCATCTGACCCAAAAATCTCTTCTGTGAAGCTCTCTCCCAGTCACTCCTTTGGTTTCATATGTACCTCTTATTGCAAATCTCTGTCTGATGATGCAGAGAAAACCAAACTCAGGTTCTTCTGTACTCTCGATACAATCAATACAGAATACGTTTATGACCAGATGTGGGAAGAGTTCTCCCCACATGACAAACAAGTAGTCTTTCAGCAATGAACACCAGCTGGGCATCCTCTAAATCAAGTCAATTCGGATACTATCCATCTGCAGTAAGCCTCAGAGCTCAGTTGAGGGCTTAGTCCTACAAGGCTGCCCCCCTAACTTCCGACAACAATCACAGGTCCCAGGTTGTTTTGCCTGGGTTTCTGACCCACCAGCTACAAATTGAGGTTCTCGCAACACCATCTTTGGGTTCCATTAGTTTCCCAGGGCAGCTCACAGAATTTTGGGGTTCTTACGGAGGCTTTATTACATAGGCATGATTGATTAAATCATTAGCCACTGGTAATCAACTTAACCTTCAGTCTGGCTCTTACCCCTCTCCAGTTTGGGAGATGGGGCTGCCAGCCATCTGTCAACTTATTAGCATACAAAAAGACACTTATCACTTTGAAAATTCCAAAAGTTTTAGGAGTTGCATGCCAAGAAACTGGAAGAATACCTTATATATTTCACAATATCACAGTCTGGTTCTAAGGAACTTTTCTCCTGGAAGACACAGGTATGTCTTACTCATTTTTGGTCTCCCAACACGTGGCCCAGCACCTAATCCTGAAACTAGCACAGAATGATTGCTCAATCAATGTTTATGAAGGAAGACTGGGGTTAGTATCAGATTTACAGGTGATTAAACCTAAAGTAGGTAATTAGGAAATAGAGGTGGGTGTGGGAAGGTAAGTCTATGTAAAAATGTGACAGTTGAAAAGGGAGCAAATAGCTTGACCATTGTCTCTCAAAGGTAATGGACCATGTCCTCTGTGACATGGCCGTTAGGGATGGGGATCAGACAGTAAACTACATAAACAGATTAGAAACTCAAAGCAACCAACCAACCATCCACAAACAAAGCCTTGTTATCTGAACAGTCTGAATAGTTCCTGATAGTCTTTTTTGGAACCACTTTTCCTCCTTCAGCAAAGCTTGACCACAGAGAACAGAACTGAAGAAACAAAATAAAGCAGCATACTAATCTGATTTCTGCATTCTGGCTATAAAAGCTGTTCCTATAGCTTTCTACATGAACAGGAAGAGATACTGAATTTAATTTGCTGATTAGTGGGGGAAAGAGGGGGTGAAAAGCAGCCAAGGACACTCTTTTGCACATTTGGCAGGGTACCACACAACCTGCCTCACAGGGGCTTGCAACAGTATGTGATCTCCACCAGCGCAACAGAGGCTTCAAACACAAATTTCCCACCACTACTGCCTGGATGTGGCTTCAGTGGTTGGTTGTTGGCACCGCTTTAGAAATAAGTGGCCTATTGCAAAAATGCTCTAATGCCAACAGGTTGCCACACAAGCACACCTTTGGAAATAATTTCTGCTGGCTGTAACTTAAGCAAACAAGGAAAAGACACCCATAGTGAGATACACCATCCTTGATTCTCCAGATCAGTTCATTCTAAACTAGGAGGCAACACTGACATAAAGTATTGAACAGCCAGGCATGGTGGCTCACACCTGTAATCCCAGCACTTTGGGAGGCCGAGGTAGGAGGATCACTTAAGCTCAGGAGTTTGAAACCAGTCTGGGCAACAGTGAGACCTTGTCTCTACTAAAAGAAAAAAACCAAAAATTAGTCAGGCGGGATGTCACAGGCCTGTGGCCCCAGCTACTCGAGAGGCTAAGGTTGGAGAATTGCTTTAGCCTGGGAAGTTAACGCTGCAGTGAGCCGTGATTGCGCCACTGCACTCCAGCCTGAGAGACAGAGGGAGACCCTGTCCCCAAATGAATAAATAAAAGTACAATAAAAGTACAGTGTTTCAAAAGTAAGGAGGAACCCACTGTTTAAAAGGCTCTAAATCCCAGCTACTAGAGGGCACATTTCCATATATATACATAAAGCATCTCTATGATATAATCAGGGACCTCATTCAGTTAGAAAGTTTTTTCTTTGCGGGGGGGGAGATCTCTTGCAAATTAGGCCATTATAATGTCCGATGGTATACCCAGGAACTCGTGTCAAAATAATTCTAAGGCTGGGTACAGTGACTCATGCCTGTAATCCCAGAGCTTTGGGAAGCCGAGACAGGAGAATGGCTACAGGCCAGGAGTTCAAGGCTGCAGTGAACTATGATCTTGCCACTGCATTCTAGCCTAAGTAATGGAGCAAGACCCTGTCTCTAAAAATAATTCTCCCACTCTGAATTATAAAGGTAGTATTAATAGAGGGATTTCACAGAAATCTTCCGTACCCAAGTGGGTTTCAAACTATTATACAGCTACTGACAGTGACAATCAAGTACTAGGAGAAATATATTAGTCAACAGCGTAAATACAGACGTGCATTGCAAAATTAAAGGCAGAGGTTAAAATTATTTTCATTTCACCAGTCTCCTCTCCCACAGTTGGAAGTAATAATTATTTTGTAAAAGGTTTTCCACCACTATCAGCCTACTCCCGGTAATCTTTAAAAAGGCATATTCTTTTGTAAAGCATAAACTTAACATTGGCATAGTTAAATATTTTCTGATATAAAATCACTACAACCCACATTAAATTTGTACTTCCAAAAAAACAACCAACTAGGTGGACATGGTGGTGCCTAAAGTCCCAGCTACTTGGGAGGCTGAAGTGGGAGGATCGCTTGAGTCCCGTAGGTCGAGGCTGTAGTGAGCCATGATCACATCACTGCACTCTAGCCTGAGTGACAGAGCGAGACCATATCTCGAAAGAAAGAAAAGAAAAGAGAAGAAAAGAAATCACATTTATAGATACTGGGTGTTAGAACATCAACAATATCTTTTCATTCACTGAAAGAAAAAAAAAATTGCCAAGACCTGTTTAAATGGTACCTGTTGCTACACATAAAACATGTTGAGATGATCCCTACAGTAGAGGCCCCAGGGCCCCACAGGAATAGTAGGAAGTGCCCTACTAATATTAACACTAAAGTATTAATATTATTAGTTTCTAGAGGGTGAGGAGTAGAGATATTTAACTTTTTCTTAAATATATCTACACTGTTTGACTTGACAAAACTAGCATGAATGACATCTGTCATTAAAAATAAAAAGAGCTTATTGCTACACACTTATGATGCATTTATACTACGCCTCAATAGGTAAACACAGGCTAGACTAAATTACTTTCTAAACTGAGATCTATTGCTGGCACAGTAAAACAAATAAAGCTCAGAGCCTCTTGCTTAATTCAGTTTCCATTTGAGCTTCTGCCCTCATTTACTTACAATACTCATTATAAACAGTGCACCTCACCATAAGAGACAATAATACTTTCCTGGGAAACAGACTGTGCCAATTTTATTGTAACTTTTTAAACTTCGCTCCTATATTTTTATGTAATCATCAGGCACTATGTAATCTTGCTAAACAGCAGTAACAGCCAGAGCGACCCAGTGGTAAGAGTATTAATCTTCACTGGTCTTACAAGTCAGAAAACCTGGGTTTGAAAGTGTGAGAAGCTTGGCAGATCAACCTGTGCGCTTCAGTTTTCTCTCCTATAAAAACTACTACTATTTGCTCCCTCCTTAAGGATGAATACCTAGTAAATTGTTCTTAAATGAATGAATGAAATGTGAAACTAAATCATGGAGTGTAATCTCCTCCATTAGATTTGTCCCTGGAAAACCAAGAAGTTATCAATTTTTTTTGATCTAAATGATCCGTGCCCAAACTGTAACAGAAATAAAAACCACACCCAACTCCTAAAATTAAGTTACTTTTAAAGTTATTAGAGAACAACAGGGCTTTAGAACATCAGCAGGATGTTCTGTTTTAAAATTGATTTGGCATTCAGGAGTCTAAGCCGAGTCGCCACAGCAGACTGGCTTGGTAATTTAATTAGAGTCTTCTGGAAGGACCCATTAAATCGTCATCCCCCGACAGTGTTCTCTTTAGGGACCTGATTTTCTCTCTAGTCTTCCCATTCCTTTCTCCTTCCTCGCCTCTTCTCACCCCTTTTGTTTGCTCTTTTTTTCTTTTTTTGCTCTTAAAACAGCTCTCCCTTCGTTCGGCTTGTCACTCCCATGCATTTTTCACTCTAACTAGAAATGGGTCACCCCAGGTTTGCTCCCCAAGCCTCAGGGCCCCTCAGGACGAGTGGGAAAGGCCCTGCGGTCCACCCCGCCTGGGGGATTCCTCCTCTGATCACAGCCCCGGCGGGCTCCGCAAATGGGAAAGGATTTCCAGCGCGCGCCTAGCGGCCACAAATCACTTCCCCGGGCCACCCTGCCAGGCCTCAACCCTCCCAGAGCCGTCGGTCGGCTTTTACTTTAACGAGGATTCAGGTGGGTCACACCCTGTCCTCCAAACGCGGGCCTGCTCCCCGGACCCCGCCCAGGGGCCCGCCCCAGTGCCCAGGCTCCTCGGCATCCCTAGCACTGTGGGAGGCGGGGAAGTGACCCCAAAGTTGCTTCTGAGTGGAGACTTCCGCACACAGAGGCGTCCCCACAGCTGCCTGCCTTTTTCAGGGGCAGCATCCTCCGCCCGTCCGGAGCCTGTCCTCGGGGCCACCACGCACCCCGCGCCTCCGCCCCGCCGGGGCCGCACCGGGGCCTCAATCTGCAGGAAGCTGGGGACAGTGGGCTTCCTCCCCTGCCCGGAGCAGCCGAGTGTCCCGGCCAACCTCCCCCGCGGAGAGCGCAGCGCCCCCGCGCAGTCCCCGAACTTCTTCCCGCGTCGGCTAGGGCTCTCGGGTGGGGACGCGGGGACCCCTCGCTCACCGATATCCCCATCGTCGTCGTCGTCCTCCTCCTCCATTTGTAGCAAAACATTCCTGCTCATCTTTTTCATGTCTCCTTCAGAAGGCGGCTCCGAACTTGGCGCGAAGTTGGGGGCTCCCGGGTTCCGGAACGGCGCGGCTCTCCCAGGGGCCGGATCGGGGACCGTGGGGCGCTTGTCGCTTGGCCTCAGGGGCCGCTCTGCCCAGCCTGCGCCTGTGAAAGCCGAGCCGAGGCGCCCACCGGCCGGAGCCCAGAGCCGAGGAAGCCTCTCGCCTGCCGAGCGGAGCCCGGAGACTGAGCATGCCCAGTGCGGCCGCCGCGGCTCGCTGCGGAATGATTGAACTTCCCCGGTTTTATGAGGCTTGCAGAAGGAAGTCGGGAGGCGAGACTGGAGAGGGAGTAGTCCGATGCTGCGCGCTGGGGAACTAGCTGGAGGGCGAGGTGGGAACACGTGAGTGCGGGAGTGGACGGGGTTCCCTAAACGTTGATCCCAAACAGGGCAGCTTTTCGTTCCAAGGTCGTCTGTGAACACACACTGCGGCTTGCTTTGTTTTAACGTCTGATACTGGAGAGGGGGGAAATGCTGCTACAGCACAACTGCAGAACCCTGGAAGGCTTTTAAAGGAGACGTGGAGCTAGTAATGGGGGAATCTTAAATAACTCCGAAGTGGGAAAGTGGAATCATACGGGTAGGGTAAGATTACGGGGCAGTGGGGGTGGGAGGAGAGGCAAAACTCAAATAAGCAAAAGAAGAAGGGGCGGGACGGAAGGGAGTGGCGGTGGAGAGAATTTTCTAAATAAACGTGTGCACAAAGGCAGGAGGATTTCCGCATACATTACGGTCGCGGAGAGTGGAGAAGCGCCCCCTACCCCGCCCGCACGAGCACACAGGGAGTGGTCGGAAGATAATCGCTGAAGCGTCCAGCCTATTTGTACAATGGAAACTAGTCGTCTGTGTCAAAGAGGCAGAAGAAGCCGAAGACCACTAGAGTTAGATGTAAACTCCTCTAAAACCATGTGGAAAGCTATCAGAAGAGAAAAGAAAGTAGTGAAATAAAATTAAGGCAGATAGTTTTTATCTTTATTTTTAGTGCTTTCCTGGAAACCAAAGGGACCGATAGGACAAATACAAAGGGATTTAGTACTTTAAAGACCCTTGGAGTTGTTTGAACGGCAGGTTTTGGGGATCCTGTGTCTACAAAACTTTTTTCAAAAAAGCTGGTGCATTCAGGTGGTTCAATTTTGACTTCTCAAAAGGGCTAGAAGGTATATTTGAAATCTTGGTTATATGTGTTATTGTCTACTCCGCATTGAAATTTTTTGAATATTTTTTCCACTGAAGTGCTAGGGTTGTCACAATAACACGAAATCTGCTGTGCATATTTTTTCTTCCATATGCTTTTTTTGAGACAGTCTCGCTCTGTTGCCGAGGTGGGAGTTCAGTAACTAGAACTACAAGCGGAGCACACCACCATGTGGGGCTTATTCTTAAATTTTTTGTAGAGATGGGTGTCTCACTATGTTGCCCAGGCTGATTTTGAACTCCTGGCCTCCAGCAATCCTTGCACCTCAGTTTCCTAACTTATTTTTAATGTTCTCTCTGAAAGAAAGAAAACATTGAGACCAATCTTCACTGGGAAAATAGCCATGAATATATACATGAAAAGACATGATGAAATTACTTTTAAGAAAACATCTGGGAAACACTATACTTGCTTCTTGAGGTACTTTTTTTGAATAAAGAGAATTGTTTTTAGTATAAAGAGACAACAATACAGTACTCTGAAGTTAGGATAAAAAATGATGGGAGAAGAAAGATGAGAAGACATTGTTTTCTTTCACTGAACCCTCTCCCCTGAGCTTATGAAACTCACTAAAAGTAGAAACTTCAAAAGTGTTTTGGTTACATGATCAATTTTTACAATTTTCCTTTAACAAATTTTTGTGTAGTCATTTTTATGTACTAGGAAAAGTTTTACATGTTTTATAAGCATCCAGTCATTCAACCCTCATAACAACCCTAGAAATTGTTATCATTTTTCTTCAGGTGTGAGGCAACTTGAGCAACTTGTCCAAAATCACACAGGAAATAAATAGCGGAGCCAGGATTGAAACCCGAAGAGCTTGTTTTAGAATCAGTGCTCATAGCCACTTCATAAACCACCTCCGGAGACATGTCCCAATCCATTTTTTTTTTTCAGATCACTTTTTCCCCCAACAATTCTAAATTCAAAGTCTCATCAACTCCCTGCCGTAGTTCTTTCACCAAATGTTCTTTGTTTTTCTTTTTATTTTTTTGAGACGGAGTCTCCCTCTGTCGCCCAGGCTGGAATGCAGTGGCCGGATCTCGGCTCACTGCAAGTTCCGCCTCCCGGGTTTACGCCATTCTCCTGCCTCAGTCTCCCGAGTAGCTGGGACTACAGGCACCCGCCACCTCTCCCGGCTAGTTTTTTTGTATTTTTTTAGTAGAGACGGGGTTTCACCGTGTTAGCCAGGATGGTCTCGATCTCCTGACCTCGTGATCCGCCCGTCTCGGCCTCCCAAAGTGCTGGGATTACAGGCGTGAGCCACTGCGCCCGGCCTTTTTTTGTTTTTGTTTTTTTTGTGACAAAGTCTCGCTGTCGCCCAGGCTGGAGTGCAGTGGCGCGATCTCGGCTCACTGCAAGCTGCGCCTTACGCCCTACGGGTTCACGCCATTCTCCTGCCTCAGCCTCCTGAGTAGCTGGGACTACAGGCGCCCGCCACCAAGCCCGGCTAATTTCTTGTATTTTTAGTAGAGGCGAGGTTTCACCGTGTTAGCCAGGATCCTCTGGATCTCCTGACCTCGTGATCCGCCCGCCTCTGCCTCCCAAAATGCTGGGATTACAAGCATGAGCTACCGCGCCCGGCCTTGTTCTCGTTTTTATGGACTAAGACTTTGCTCAAAGTTACTTTGTAGTTAGAAAATTATCGTAGTTGATTTTGCAACAAGTTTTAATTAGTCATTCAGAATTCTTCACAGATTTTTAAGAGTTTACATTTTTCTTCCTTGATAAATGTTGTAGTGAAACATTGTTGGCCTTATATGTAAAGGTAGCTGTTGCTAGAAGAGAACTGAATTGTTTACTTACCTTAGCTGTGAGTCTATTATTAGTAAATTACATTCTTTCCTCTAATCCATTTTATTTCCTACCACTTGTGCATTTTTTTTCAATTGAGCAATATATGCCTCAAAAATAAGACAATAGGCCTATGTAAGAACCACGCACTTACCCCTGAAGAATTATCACCCATACAATGATAATTTGTGAAATAAAATATTCTTAATATATAGCCAGGTTATTTGTATTTGCAAAGGTTTTTCAAGTCAGGGATCACAGAACAATTATTTTCTCATTCATTCGTCTGATTAACTACAATTTTTGGCCACCAGAATATTCTTTCTCTGCCCATCCTGTAAACGTTGTTGCTTTTCTAGCTTCGGACCAGGTCTCTTTTCTTCTCATCTTTCCCCATAGAACTCATTCAGTCCTATAACTTTACTATCTAGTCCAGGCAGGGTCAGCTTCATGGGCATTCAAACAGTCTATTCACACAGAGCCCTACACCCTCATGGGCCTAACACTTGGGATTTAAATGTTCTGTAGTTAATGCTCATCAATGATAGACTAGATAAAGAAAATGTGGTACATATACACCATGTAATACTATGCAGCCACAAAAAGGAATGAGATCATGTCCTTCGTAGGGACATGGATGGAGCTGGAAACCGTTATCCTCAGCAAACTCATGCAGGAACAGAAAACCAAACACCACATGTTCTCACTCATAAGCAGGAGCTGAACAATGGAACACATGGACACAGGGAGGGGAACAACACACACTGTTGGGAATTGGGGATGGGGAAAGGAAAGCTTCAGGATAAATAGCAAATGCATGTAGGGCTTAATACCTAGGTGATGGGTTGATAGATGCAGCATACCACCATGGTACACATTTACCTATGTAACAAACCTGCTCATCCTGCACATGTATCCCAGAACTTAAAATAATTTTTTAAAAAAGGTTCTGTGGTTGCCATCCTGAAATTCTTTTCTTCTAGTTTTATTTGAGGTTCTGGGGGTACATGTGCAGTTTTGTTATAGGTAAATTGTGTGTTGCTGAGGTTTGGTGTATGAAGATCCTGGCAGCCAAGTATTGAGCATAGTACCCAGTAGATAGCTTTCCAAACACCCGACTCCCGCTATCCCCCCTAAGCAGTCTCTAGTGTCTACCATCTTTGTATCCATGTGTATTAAATGTTTATCTCCTACTTATAAGTGGGAACGTGCAGTATTTGGTTTTTCTGTCCCTGCATTAATCTGCTTAGGATAATGGCCTCCAGCTGCATCCATGTTGCTGCAAAGGACATGATTTGTTTCTTTTCTATGGCTGCATGGTATTTCATGGTATATATATATATATACCACATTTTCTTTATCTAGTCCACCATTGATGAGCATCTTGGTTGATTCCATGTCTTTGCTGTTGTGAATAGTGCTGCAGTGAACATACCAGTGCATGTTCATCTTTTTAGTAGAACGATTTATTTTCTTTGGGTATATACCCAGTAGTGGGATTGCTGAGTGGAATGGTAGTTTTGAGTTCTTTGAAAAATCTCCAAACTGCTTTCCATAGTGGCTGAACTAATTTACATTCCCACCAGCAGTGTATAAGCATTACCTTTTCTCCACAACCTCAACAGCATCTGTTGTTTTTGACTTTTTAGTAACGTCCATTCTGACTGGTATGAGATGGTATCTCATTGCAGTTTTGACTTCCATTTCTCTAATGATTAATGATGATGAGCATTTTTTTCATATATTTGTTGGCCACGTGTATAGCTTCTTTTGAGAAGTGTCCATTGATTTCCTTTTCCTGTGTTTTAATGAGATTGTTTCTTTTTTGTTTGTTGAATTAAGTTCCTTACAGATTCTAGATATTAGACCTTTGTCTGATGCATAGTTTGTAAATATTTTCTCCCATCCTGTAAATTGTCTATATACTCTGTTGACAGTTTCTTTTGCTGTGCCAAAGCTCTTTAGTAGGTCCCACTTGTCAATTTTTGTTTTTGTTGCCATTGCTTTCTGGGACTTAGTCATAAATACTTTGTCAAGACCAATGTGTAGTATGGTACTTTCTAGGTTTTCTTCCAGGGTTTTTATTATTTTAGGTCTTACATTTAAGTCTTGAATCCATCTTGAGTTAACTTTTTTATGCGGCGAAAGGAAATGGTCCAGTTTCAACTTTCTGCATATGACTAGCCAGTTATCCCACCACCAT